AGTCCCCGCCCGGACATTCGAATGAAGCACTAGTTTACGTCCGGATTGCTTTACCCCAGAGACGCCATTACTTAATTTATAATTTGTATGTTGCACTCGGGATCATTATGTGGTGGTTTCCCGTTGCCTTCCACTTCGCAGTATTATGCATCAGAGTGCCATACCGATCCTCGTGATCTCTGCGACCATGAGTACTGAAAGAGCTGCTGCCCTCTTTCAGGTACTTGTCTTAGTCTGGTTTCTTTTTAAGAACCCCTCCATTATAATTGAACCTATAGTCCGGGTCCCTAAATCATCGAAACTTGCAAGCCGATCCACCCACTCTAGTTTGTACAATATTCTAAGGGTCATTAGCAATCAAATCTTATAATTTCACACATGAGAGAATAGAACTGCTATTGTTGAAGGAGTTTAAAGAAGTTAAAGAAAATTCTACCATCTACTTCTAAGAATCTTTATATATACGCTTAATAGAGGAATTTTCGTCGCTCTAGAGTATATTTGACAATTTGAAAAATAGATTTCTCTTCCTTGAGAATAACCATAACTGAATTAGGAATTCTACATTTCAAATAATTTAGGATAAACCTTTTTAGTTGATTATATCTACTACAACATTTCATAGAACTCGATATTTTTTCGCAACAGTGACATCTAAAATCTAAAAGATTTGAAAATGTATCGTTTATCAAAGTAATGAGTTATGAATTGAAAAAAAAACGTAGCAAGGATTTTATCAACAGAAGTACTTTGAACATAACTATATAAAACGAGTTTCAACAAAAATTTGTACAGTATCTGTCACAAGCAGAAATGAAGATAATTGCCTTAATTTTCATAACAATTTCCTTGGTTATGGTAACGTTGATACTAATTTGAAGGTCCAAATTAATTCTGAATATATTTTTTTGTGTTGTTGATAGGCCGACATAACTAGGGATAGGTTTAAAATTGTACCCACTCGCAAAATAACTCACAGAGAACTAAATAATCTTGCATCCTCTGAAGATGTAAGGATCGTGGGAGGAAATGAAGCTGTACCAAACTCCTTACCATACCAGGTAAGTATCTAAATATTTGGAATACTTGATGTTTTATCAAAATCTTTAGGTGTTAGTCACTCCTGTGTATAATTATAACATTCTAATTCTAATCATGGATTTGGCTTAGCGGCAAATATTCCAAAATCATCTTCGCTGTTCTACGGGTGACACTCCACAGGCTATTTATTTCCAAATTCTAGATTGAGTTAAAATTGAGAAGATGTGAAATTTCCGCACAGTCAAATTCGCGGTATATTTTTGATGTACAATATAATATCTTTATTTGGAAGAGGCTAAAGAACGTTACAAGTGTCACGGATTTGTTCTTAGGTAAATTCCGTCCAAATTTGAAAGCGAGCCCGCCTGGGTATTGCTGCTTTCTCTCTCGCTTTGTTTTTAATAATTTGACTGATTTCTTTTATAATTTCAAATGCACAATCGTTGGTTTGTGGTAAAAAAAGACAATTACTTTACAATAATTTCGCCACACTTGTGTAAACGATTAACAACTTGGCCACAAATTTTTTGTTATTTTAGGTCGCCTTGAGACCATTTTACGATGAATGGACGAGTTTCTGTGGAGGATCTCTCATCACCAAGAGATACGTGCTGACAGCTGCGCATTGCTTAGATGGTAGGTAAGACATTTGCTCTTCACTGTTGTCGTCATAATTTATTGTATTTTGCTCTCTCTTATCAGACTTTTGTCGGTAGAAGTAATTCTGGGGGCACATAAGTATCGTGAAATTGAATCTACCCAACAAAGGATCAACACATCCACGTTCAAAGTACATGAACAATTTAACAGTGAAACACTAGATAATGATTTGGGTGTCATCTATCTTCCAACGCCAGCAAAAATTAATCGTAACTATCTCTATTGATAATTTATTATCTTAAATATTAATTACATCTAATAAGAAATTACCAAACTTATAACCAAAAGTTAAACCCTTCAACGTTGATCGACTTTATTCAGATTTCTTCTAGCTTTCCGTAATTATTTGAGTATACCCTGGTTATTATAAACGTATCTATTTATAAATCCAGTGATTTGTGTTCGCTCTTTCACCAAGCATAATTAAATATCTCCAGACTACGTTCAGTTGATAGCACTGCCCAGTAGAACTGACGTTTCTAATAGTTTCGCTGGACATAAGGCAACAGCAAGTGGTTGGGGAGACGATTATGATCCTGCCACCGATGGCAAAGAAGTATTGCGATATATCAATGTCCGTATTCTCAGAAACGAAGTGTGTAATGAAACATTCAAGGATATCATAGATTCGGTCATTTGTACTGCAGGAACAGGCAGAAAAGGAGTCTGCTTTGGAGATTCAGGCGGACCACTTGTGACCAATAAAAAATTGGTAAATATATATCACTTTAAAAATACTAAATCAAAGTAACGATATACCTATATGTTATATCCTTCATAATCAAAACTAACATTGAAAAAAAAAACATTTGGAAGAATTGATGTAGTCATGATAAACAAGAGCCGGCTGGATTTTTTTGTTGTTAAGGTCACTTAAGTACCTTCCTCTGTTATCAAATACTGCTACATTGTTTTCAAAAATTACCTGTTAATTCTGATGGGTAATACGCCATTCCTTCAAATTGAAGAATTGCCATATTGTTAGCGGAAAGTGTAGTTTTCGGTATATCGCTTAGATCAATCTCACTCTAATGGAACCCGGACTTAGAGTGACGGGAGTTATGGACCATACGTCCCATTATAAAGAGATAAATGGTAATAGTTACCCAGAAAAACGTAAAAACCTGACTTTTCTTTTCCCATACGAACCACATTTGCCCTCAGCTGTTAAAACAAATGCGCGTTAGGATTATTTTTGGCATGTATTCAAATTGATTTGATTGTATGGATATTAACATATACCTCCCTAAATTAAAGTTCGAACAAAATGAAAAGGTTTTGCGTGTCATCAAAGAAAATACAAGTACTAACGTACATGACATCATTTTCTACTTTGGACGTGGCATTTTCATGGTTGTTTTTGAATTTTTGTTTCTCTTCTTTATTTATTTATTTTTTCTATTGGACTGCGACAGGCCAATAACTTTTGTCAGAACGAAGTCTCTCAGGGCAGCTAATTTTAAATTAAAAAGAAAGATGAAACGAATCGGAACTGTTGGTTTTTTGACTCAAATTAGTTTGGGTAAATTTTTTAATAGAAATGTTACGCAATTACTTTGTATACTGCTTTCGGTTTTGTCGTGATTTTATTTTTTATTTTAAGTTCAAAATCTCGTAAAATATACGTATACATATATAGCTGAAGCTAGAGACTTGTGGAGTGGAGCCTTTAGATATATACAGGATCGGCGGAAGGTAATTCGGGGGTAGAAAATGTAATGCATAGGGAAGTAGGGCAGATTGTAGAAAGTTATTTACAAAAAAGCGATAGGCTAGTTATGGTTAAATTAAACACGAAGCCGGTAAAAACGGTATATAACGGTGCGTACATAATTTTTGTAGATTTAGAAAAATCTTTTGACAATGTTAAATCGGACAAAATGATAATATACTTAAAAATGAAGGGATGAGTTACAGAAACAAAGAATGACACTTTGTGAATAGAGTAACAGACAGCTATAGAGCTGGGGTTCCAACGTAGAGAAGTAAATATTAGGAAAGGAGTCAGACAGGGATGCACACTGTTACCGCTACTTTTTAATCTATACATCGAAGTCGCGTTCAACACCATTAAAGGCAGTACAACTGTAGGGATAGATATACAGGGGAAAAAGACGAAACATTAGAAGAAGTGTCTGATTTTAGATATCTGGGAAGTCAGATAAGTCAGGACGGAAGGAGTAGTAGGGATATAAAGCAGAGGATAGCGCAGGGTCGTATCGCCTTCAATAAAAAGAAGTCACTTCTAGGATCGCGAACGGTTAATTTAAAAATGCGAGAAAAGTTGTTAAATGTGTGTGTTTGGAGCGCGGCGCTGTACGTGTGCGAAACATAGACAGTAGGTGCGGCGAGAAGTAAAAGGTTGAAAGCGGTCGAAATGTGGTGTTACAATCGAATGATGAGAATACCCTTGATAGAGAAGGTGAGAAATGAAGAGGTATTAGAAAGAATAGGAGAACATAGGACTCCTTCCCAGGCGTAAAGGTCTAGTCAGAGACTTGTTAATGGCAGAAACGAGAGTTAGGAGGGGTAGAGGTAGAGCTAGATTAGATTACTGTTCGCGAATAGTTAAGGATGTGGGATGTTCTCGTTTTAGGGAAATGCAAAGATTAGCTCAGGATAGGAAAGAGTGGAGTTCAACCAGTCTTACCACTGACGACCTTAAGATGATGAAATTATACATACAGTGGAATAAGCAGATGTGTCCTTCAACATACACCAGCAATAAGAGATAGTGTGACTTTCGTAAGGATTAATGCTCTTCAAGATCTGAACGTTGGTTGGAACGGACTCACCATTGCCTTTGATTTGCTGACTCACGAGCACTTTTTTTTATAAAGTATTTTAGGGATGCTGGTGAAATTCACTATACACCATCATGTACAAAATATACGACAAATTAGCGTAGTCTTTTAAAAATTAAAAGTAAATGAACATACTAAGAAATGACGAACAATCTAATAAAACCATAGACATACAACTATGTTGCTACTCTTTGTTGTTTCTTTTACAGATTGGTGTAGCATCATTTATAGGTGATAATGATTGTGATGCTGGTGATCCATCTGGCTTTTCTAGGGTAACATCATTTTTAAATTGGATTGAAGTAAACACTGATGCTGTTATTGCTTAAACGTTCCTATGTACTGATGTAAATATTGCTAATAAACGATTATTACTTTTAAATGCTTCTTTGTTTGTCTACGTACATGCATACAGGATGTAACAGAAATAGGTGCCGAGATTTTAAGGGTGTAAGCAAGATGCAATAAACAATCGTACAATGAGTTCAGTAGCGTGGATAAAGGCGAATTTGTTTTTAAGAAAATCACAATAATGTACAATCCGAAGCTGGTCCTGTGCGTGAATAGGCAACAGGTTTTTAATATTGATTAACGTAGTGCCATAAAAATTGTGCAGCTGCATCGATGGAGAAATAAACATTGCCGATTATCGAACTTTTAAGATAAACAATGAAACATAAACAATTTACTACTAAACATATACACTCCCTTTATTGTGACATGGTTCAGTAATTAATAATTAGTTCCCCATATCTCTTTCGTAATGTGGAATAACTCGGTACATTCTGTTGATCGCAGTAACGATTTAAAAAATCTTGAAATAAGCGATTAACCAATTTATATAAAGGAATATTGCAACCCACCAAAGGGTTGCACAGGTCTGCGTGAAACTTGTTTGTTTTCTGTTGCATTTCCCGTGGTTGCAAAAGCTATTGCAGAAAAGAATTCGACGATCCTTTTGTTAACTTTGTGACCTTTCCTGCTACAATGCTGGTCTAGTTGAAACTTTTTTTCACACAATCTATGAATAAAAAAAAATGCTGAACAAGCCCATTGGAGTTTATGTGGATGATGGCTTGTCTGCAAGTAACAGCAATGAACTGCTGGAACAATTTCAACTGAGATTTGTAATTGTTTCTGACGCAGTAAACGTGCGAATAATTTTCTAATTTTTTGCAGATCTATTATTTTTCACTTGTACTTTCGATTTATGAAATAAAAAAAAATGCTGAACAAGCCCATTGGAGTTTATGTGGATGATGGCTTGTCTGCAAGTAACAGCAATGAACTGCTGGAACAATTTCTGCTGAAAGTTCAAGAAGAATTTAAAACAACATGATGATGCAAATACTTTTCTGGGACTGTAAATAGAAAGAATGGTTGACTGATCCATATTTTTAAATAAATCTGCTTACACTGAGAGGCTCATCAAGAGGTTTAAAGTAGATGATGCTAATTCGGTAACATGTCCACAAGAGAAGAAGGCATATTAAGTACTATTATATATGAGGACTGGGATTAATTTTTCAGAAACTATGAACTATGTTAAAAATTTATTCTTTTCATTTATTTTATATTACTAATTTTGATATTCAATAAAATAGTGTGAGTATTTCTATTGTATTCTTTTTTCAAACGAGAAAAACAGCTTAAAATATTATTTTTTAATTACTAATTAAGCTGAAGTAAATAAACAATTTTATGGTGGTTGTATCGGGAAACCTTTATTAAACAGCTGTTACTTTTAGGTTACTACCCAGTTTTCACATTCACCTTTCGAAAATTTACGAGGATTCCCAAGAAACATTGCTGCTTCTTCAAAGATGTTCAAACAGCTGGTATGCAAATATAATATTGAGAAAAGTAATTGTGTCGACGATATGAATTCCACTAAAGAATTAACAATTCTGCAAAATCAACCTAGTGAAGATGTCATAAAGTTTTCTTCTTCAGATGATGTATCTCCTTTGCTAAATGACTCTGAAACTGTACAAATATTCCAAAGCCCTGATTCACTAGATCGTACAATGGAAGAAGAGTAGTTTTCCTAATATTTCTACCAACTTACCCTATATAACTGCGTATATTATTTGTAAAATCAATACTACATAAATTTTTGTGTTATAATGTCCGAATTCAAAGCATCTACAACTTACCCATCATTCCTAAGAATTAATAAANACATCACCAGAAATTACTACCTACAGTAAAAAATCCCTTTGCTTTTAGTCAGTAATCCTTTCTGTTAATATTATACATTAAATTTTTCTTACAATAAGTTTTCTATATGATTTTCGAATAGTGGAGGAGATCAGTATCAAATGCAGAATAAGCGACAACAGACCAGTTGATGATTTTTAATTTTTCTAAATTGCACTTTTTAATAGTTTAAAATAACTCATAATTTCTCAATTTTACTCAGATTATGTCTTATGTCAAATGACTTCTGTTATGAGTTAGTTACCGCTAAGTTTTTAGAAGTTGGTATTATTTTACCTAAAAGTTGTAAAGCAATAAAATGTTTTAAGAAGGGATGACAAACAGAAGATTATTACTCTTACGTAGAACTATAAAAGAGAGCGGATTTTAGTTTAAATCACTTTACAACAACGAGCTCTCGTGATGGAGTCGCGCGAACGGGGAAACTTTAAAAAACTTTCACTTCCGAACTTCACAGTTCCGCCGCGCCACTTTTTCCTTAACGAAACGGAAAAGCTTTTCCTTGCAGGCGAAATGACCGAGATTATTAGTGCAAATTATTCTTCATGCGTTTATACTTATATTTTTTTTTATTAAACGCGCGCTTTCAGTCAGTTACAGTCGCGATGCGCCAGTTGACTAATAACTGCCGTTTATACAGCATGTCTACCTTCGTATCAAGCGACTACAAATCGCCGACGCGGACGTCGCCGTCGCGCCGTTGAAGAAGTTTTTCGCTCCAGGCCAGATTCCTGGCCGACGCGTCGCGATGCGTCCATCTGCCGCATTCACTCGCTGTTGTTTGCGCTAAACGAACCTTGTGTTCGAAACTTCCAACTCGTAAAATAATGAAAGACACGAGAGAATCGGGATCTATGATCCGCCGTCTCATGGAAGTTGGCTCAGCTGATCAAAATACAAAGTTTTCGCATTTAACTATGTCATAATCATGAAAGCACGCTCTTAAAATGTGTTTGATTTGAGATCTACCAAATATGCATACATCCGCTTCGTGGGGGGTGGCAGTATTCGTGCACCGAAGGACAAGTTTTAAATGAGAATAGTGCATGTAAACCATAAAATTGTTTATTAAAATCATTAAACGCGTTAAATAAATTAAAATTATCTGCGGAGTTTTCTTTTTATGCAAAATCGAACAAAAAGTTCGTCTAAATGCACTACAGGATCTTGAACTTTGTCTCCATTAGTTCCCCTATGAAAAGTACCTCTGTTTTATATGCAGATAATGAAAAATATGATATTGAATTGATTGATATGAAATTCTTTAAGAAACTTTTAATAGTGGTTAATATTTGATATTAATGTGAAAATTCATTTAATTTTTATCCACTACAAATTATTAAGGAAAAATTATTGCTACTCGGAACGTTTGGTTTTACGCACCAATACTCTGACCACCAAACTACGAGAGGTGACACATTAATATCAAATATTAACCACCAAAAAGAAAAACAAAAGGTTTCTTAAAGAGCTTCATATGGTCGTAATAATCAGTTTATTCTAGAAACAGTTATTAATCCAGACGATTGACAGCTACAAATCATATTACTAGCAGACATGCATAGATATTCGATTTATTCTAATTTCAACTCTTTTTGTAGTTTTTGTAGACCGCTGGCCGCACGTGTAAGCTGATATGGCGCGTAGGTACTTCAAATTTTTTGAAGTGTTCCTAAATTTTCATACTGATAAGTTTCTACGTGTCTGCAGATAAATTTTATGCAAGCTTACTGTTACCTACATGACCTTGTAACTTTTGCCTAATTCACTTTTATACATAATGTTACAGAAAATAAAGACATTGCATTGCATTTTCGCAAGAACTTTCCTTTTGCGGTTTTAAATATCTCATATGCACGGTACATGTGCTGCGTAATATGTTACGCAGAATCAAGGTCACTATAAATTGTTCTTTGCGAGAATAATTTTTGTTTGTATTTCAATTTTTATTTTCGTTATTACTTTTTGTGTAAAAAATGTTCATTTACGAACAGAAATTATTTTAAATTGGTTAAATAATAATTTCCTTGTCCATCAAAACAACTCGAACATCAATTAATTCACAGCTTTATCTCTTTATTATCTTCTATTTCCTCTGTCTCCTGTACTTTATATGCCTGCAGGTTAAACGTCCTGTTCCTAGTTTTAAGCGTAATGCATTATTGTATCGATTGAAGGTAAGCGCTTTGGCGTCATTACATCGTGAAATGATGAGTCAGTCTACAGTTAGTATTTAGACAACGATGGCGACTGATTCGTTAAGTGAGAAGAAAAAAAGGAATTCAATTTTTATGAGTTAATAGTATTGTGGGAACATTCCATATAGTATACAATTCATAGTATAGATATACGGTATGTATGCAAGTGATTCAACATTTCTATCGTCGCTGTCGATCGACCAAACTGGATCAACCATCGAACTCAGACCAAACTGTTAGACAAACGCTTTATATTTAAGCCATGTAAATAGTTTTGTATAAATACCGAGTAAATAATTAAATAAATCAGTCTTGCAAACAAACTCGTCTTCGTCTGACTATTGGACTTGCAAGTAACCTAGTCACTTCAACATCCAGCTGCAATCTTGTAAATAAACTAGAGTCTGCATTTTTATTATTTAGAGTCACGCACGCTACATTGGTAACTCCAACTTCATGCTGCGTCAACCGATAAAGACATAAGCTACAACACCGTCCTATGGACTACAAACTGTCTCTGGGCTCAAAATGGGCATTATCGTCGTCTCCTGCATCACCACATTAACATGAAACTCGCGCCAAAGCAGCCGCCACCGCCCCAGCATCTGTAGATCGCTTGACAGTCAAAATGTCACGCTTTAATCTATCCGACCTGGAGTAATGGTTCTACATGGCAGATCGCAGATTCGATGCCTCTGCGATCACTTCGGATGCTACCAAATTTAGGTATGTACTTGATAATCTTGATCCCCGAAATGCCGCAGAAGTAGGTGACACCATCGTCAATCCTCCGGAGAAAGATCATGGATTAGCACAATCAAGACAGGGCTCATTCGACGACTTGGTGTTTCACAAGAAGTATGCACCAAGCAACTACT